TTGAGGCAGTAATTGCTGCAAAAAGGGCCCAACCCAAGTACTGAGTCCATATACATGCTTATACTTTTCAGAGGTCTGATATTGTTCTATGTACACTCCTTGTTTTATTGATTGCATGTAATATTCTAATTTACTGAGATTGTGGACTTGGGGTTTTCATGAGCTGTAAGCCATAGTCATCGCACTTATGACAAATCACGGCTTGAACTATCTTGCTTTGCCTGTAATGCGTCTATCTCATATACTAGTTTCCCCTTTTACATTGCATTACTGAAATAAATGAACTTTTGCACGATATTCTAATTTTTTCGAGTATCACCTGTAGGTGCTCACTGCATCTTAAACGATGGATAGGGGCTGCAGATTATCACACAAGATTTCCCCAACCTTGTGAAAATACAGAACAAGAAACAAACAAAGAGGAGATAATGTGTGCCTATTGTATAGTACAACCACATGTAAATAAAGGTATATACATACATATATGTAACAGGATCTTGCTTGTAGATGAATATCTCATAAAAACAGAAACAGAGATAAACAATATAAGTGTAGTATATTGGCTTAAGTTAGAATAATATATTTCTAGTGAAGACTCACTCACACTTTCAAGAGCTATATAGAGCTCTGCTGTTGAAGGCATGGATGGTATAATCCCCAACATACAGCAGTGAGGATGGTGCAATCAACAGTGGTGGTAGTGCTTCTCCTTGGTAGAGTATAATATGTAAAAACATAGACAAGAACATCCAATAGTGTAATACTATATATTTCTTCTAGAAAAATAATAAGTATCTCACTCACATTTTTCAGAGCATGAATCTGCTCTAGTATGGTGGAATTTTAGTGGTATTCCCACTTAGGATATGCAGGTCCAGAAGTGCAGTAAAATCCAGGAAACCAAAGAAGGTATATAAAAATGAAACGCGTTAAGTGTGTCTCTATCCTTTTTGGATTTAAAATATTTATTTTATATATATATTTTTATTTGTTAAATAAAGTTTATCCCTGTAAATTTAATTAATTATTTGGCATTTACTTTATACTCCTTCTTTGGTTTCTTGGATAGATAAACAGGAACATTCTTACCATTCATTCTATATCATACAATTCGCTAAGGGAGGAGGTTTCAGGGGAGGGGGTGTTTTTTTATACAAGGATTGTGTACCTGTATAAGCATATATTGCGTATAAAGTAAGGTGTTGTGGATGTGGGGAGCTAGAATAAATAAACTGTTTAGGTAGTGTGGTTTGTAGGGGGTATACAGGAATGGATTTAACATGCGGTTAGGGTGATGTGGAAGTTTCTACTAATGTAGTTATGTAGGCAAGAGCAGATAATGACACCCATGTAGTACTATAACTATAGGAGTATAAAATATTACAACACATTAATAAACTGCAGAGTTTACACTTTGATATTCAGCAGGTATGGGCAAATTCATGTTTTGTTTTGTTTTTGCGCTTTAAGAAAATGTCAAATAAAAAATAAAATGAAGTACATTACAAACCCCCTCTCTTAAAAGATGGGCTTTATACCAAAATAAAAGTGGTTATAGTTTAACTGTATTTAAGAAAAGTGCAAAACAATTTCTTTGAGTGTAGATAGGCATGTTTTGTGTTCAATAATAAGCCTGTGAATTCCCAAGGCAAGTTTTTTTGACAACTTAGAAAATGGCATACATTCTACCTCTCAAAATACTTACAATTATAACATTTTACTGTACTTGCGAGATTACCTTAATATCTCCTAATATTACTTTAAGAGCCCTTTCACAGTTGTGGTTCTTAAGCCAATAAGGCATATTATTGTAATTTTCTTCGTAAGTGCTGCATTAAGTGCAGATTATCATAAAGGTCACAGATAGCATTACTGATAGCGTAACTACATTTTAACAGCCAAGTCATTTTGCATTTACTTTTCTTTAAACAATCATTCATTTTTAAATAAATAAAGAATGTATAATATTAAACCAGCTGTTCATGTAAATGGTTTACAATTCACCAAATTGCATCCATTCTGTAAAGACAATTGTGATATTACATCAAAGAATTACATTTTAAACGCACGTTAATGCACCTTATAAAAAATATGTTGTTGGTTTTGTTTTTTTTGTTTTTTATAGTAACAGGCACAGAATATATTTGACCCCTACTTTTGTATCCTTGAACTTGACACACAGCAAAGTGTCATGAAGCAGAAACTCAGTCAAGGCTACATACTGTTAATTTAACTGTCAATGCTCAAACGCCATTTTGTAACATGCTTCTTAGTTTCGTGATTTATGTCCTTATTTGATTCAATAAGAAAGGCTTTGATAGAAGAGCTGTATGTTAGATACCTATACAAGCATTCCATCCATTTTTGTTGCACCTGTTTAAAAAGTCAATGTGAAATTATTTCTATACTCAGCTTGTACAGCTCACACTGTTTCTGTTTGCTACTTCCAGAACTTAAATGTGTCCATGCAAAACTGCAACTAACTTGAAAAATAAAGCTTGTCACAAAAAAAGAATATATCTGATCTTGTTTCCTGCTAACATTATTGTTTTTAGAAAATACATTGATCTGCCACAACATTAAAACCACTGACGAATGAAGTTAATAACATTGATTATATCATTGCAATGGTATCTGACAAGGGATGGGTATAGTAGCAACAAGTGAACAGTCTGTGCTTACATTTCATATGCTGGTAACAGCAGAAATTGGGCAAGTGAAAAGATCTGAGTGACTTTGACAAGAGACAGCTACTAATGGCTAGATGACAGGGTGAGAGATTCTCCAAAATTGCAAGCCTTGTGGGTTGTTCCTAGTATACAGTGGTTAGTACCTACCAAACGTGGTGCAAAGAAGACAACCAGTGAACTGGCATCAGGATGCCCAAAGTTTATTGATGCACATGGGGAGTAAAAGCTAGCCCGTCTGGTCCTATAACACAGAGCTACTGTAGCTCAAATAGCTGATAAACATATTGCAGGCAATGATAGACAGGTGTCAGTACACACAGCGCTTTGCTGTTTGCTGCATACCAGACCCGTCAGAGTGCCCATGATGACCCCTGTCCACCTGTAAAAGTTCCTCTAATGGGGAAATGAGCGTAAGAACTGTACAATGTAGCAACAGAAGAAGGTTACATAGTCTGAAGAATCATGTTGCATTTTAGATAAGGTAGATGGCAGGGTGCATATGTGTTATTATCTGGGTTTGAGATGCCAGCAGGATGCACTATGGGGGGAAAAGCAGGTCAGTGGAGACAGTGTTATACTCTGGCAATGTTCTGCTTTGAAATCTTGGGACCTGGTACTCATGTGGATGTTACTTTGATAGGTTCCAAATACTGTACAAGAGATTGCACCTTAATAAAGACTATTTCATGAAGTGAAAGATTTTGTGGACCTTTGGCCTATGCCACCCTGAAGATAAGTGGCTCCCTAGTAGGCACTGCGATTATTACACAATTAATTTTGTGCTTTTTACTTGTGAAGGCCTGTCTTAATTGGTATTATATATGTTTTATGTCACATTAAATACTATACTATAAGTATTTCTCTCTCCCAACAATTAGTGCTTTTATTTCCAGTATTTTAAGGTATTATAATTTTCATACACTTGCATTTATTGCTGTGTGAACACAATCTGCACAAATATTTTTTGCACTAAAAACATGTTTTTCTTTCTTGTACATTTTATATTTGGAATGTGAGAGACAGTTTAATCTGTAGGCAGCATTTTTCCCCCCACTATTTATCATGCAGTTTATCATGTTTGCACTTTTGTTTAGCAAAACCAGACTGCTATGACTGAGCATGCATATCATGGGGAAGCTGCTGTAAGGGGTTTCCCACTTTGTAAGATCATTCTGAGCCAATCCCTCACATGGGGTATTTTATTGCATTGTGGTTCTTTTCTTTTTTTTTTGTGGCTTTTTTGCATTTCAGTTTGTTTTTTTCTCAATAGTTAGTAGCTCCCCCATCACTATTATTAGGGTGAGGGTAGTAGATAGGCTGCCTTTAATTTGGATAAAAAAAATATTTTCTTCCCTTGTTGAACAAACTAAACTCAAGACCTTCGACAGGGGGTGGCACCTAGCCTCCACTGTAGATGGTCGCACTCCAAGGAGGCTCCGCAGACAAGTGTGCCTTATCAGCTAATATAAGCCCCGAACTGCACCCAAAACACACCAACCTGAACCTCACAAGTCCTGGAACACCTGCTCCCCTATACAAAATGGGTGGCGTAAACAATCCAAGTCTGGATCACGGTGGCCCTAATTTTCTGCAGCAGGCCCAACAGGGACAGGTCATATCTCAGACTCAGATGCCAGTGAGGTGAGCATCAACTCACCCCTCAACAGAGGAGACTTACTGAGCATGTCAGCCGACATAAAATCACACCTAGCATCAGAACTGTTGAAGCATTTGGCACTGTTCAGAGAAGACCTAGCAAACCTGACTAGGTGAACGCATGATAAAGAAGAAAAGATGGAGGAGGTAGTTACCACCTCCAATGCCCATAAAACCACGCTGCAAGAATTAAAAGACCAATTTACCTTGGTGGAAGAAGCCCAATAACACCTCAACAACAGATCCAGGCTGAACAATATCCTGATACAAGGGTTCTCAGAATCCATAGCACTGGAGATCTTAATGGCAACTTTTCAAGAGTCGTTTGGTGCTCTCCTCCCTGACTCTCCACCGTTGGAATTGCTTCTAGACAGAGCACACAGAGCCCTGCACAATGCAGCCATTTGCCCCTCTTAACTGAGAGACATTATCATGCTGCTCCACTACTTCCAAACAAAACAAGCTATAATGAGAGCAACACAAGAGTCACCCATACACATAGATGACCATCTGGTACAGCTGTTGCAAAATCTGGCCCCAGTCACACTACACAAGAGGAGGGAGCTACGGCCTGCCACAGTGAACCTCTAGCAATGGAGAATCAGATATTCCTGGGGACTTCCCTTCAAACTAACGGTCAGACGAGACAACCAGACCTTTGCAGTCACCCACCCAATGGAGGAATACAGATTCCTGGATCACCTTGGCATAACCAATGTTCAACTAGAGACCTTACCAGCATCCCAAGGCCCTCCAAACCACATCAACCCACCAGGTGTCAAACCACCCACGCTCTACCTGCACATTGAGGAACCTCCCCCATATTGTTTGCCTGCTAACCTGATCACCTAACAATCAAGCACACCACTATTTGACACTGATGGCCTACTTACCCCAGTTCTGAACTCCAGCTCAACTTGGACAGAACCTTGACGCATCTACCAGGCATAGCCAAACTCAGTACCAACCAGAATACACTTCAGTATTTTGTGTATATGTTGTTGTTTTACTGCACTATTTGTTTGCACACCATTGACTAGCAACCCCCACCCCTCACTATAATCTGCCCTGGCATAAAACACCACCCCCTCCCTCGCCAGAGCGCTCATACAGAACGCTGAACAATCCTCAACTTGCACCACTGTCTACCCCATTTGACGGGCCTGGCGGAGGCATGGACAGCTTAACCCACACCTGTCCCATCTGCACAAAACTTGATGCCCATACATTAACTCACTGTAGATACAGTGTACACCCTCCACAGGACTAAGCCCCCTTGCTCACTGTTAAGGACTTACACAATATTACAGCTACTGATTGACCCTCCATACAACCACAATGGCCACCATTCCTGACTAATTACCTGCCACTAGAGTGGTATGCACCAACCACCCCAGTCTCTACTGTCCCCTTCACATGCCCCTTACTGAGACGCTCTTGGATCAGTGATACTATCGCAACTCGACTGAAGCCTGAACTGCACCAGCATATGCTGAAAACAGCCTTGACCCCATTCACCTCACGTTCTCCCATACATAGTTACATAGCTGAAAAGAGACTTGCATCCATCAAGTTCAGCCTTCCTCACATTTGTTTTTTGCTGTTGATCCAAAAGAAGGCAAAAAAAAAAAAACAGTTTGAATCACTTCCAATTTTGCAAAAAGCTAGGAAAAAAATTCCTTCTTGACCCCAGAATGGCAGTCAGATTTATCCTTGTATCAAGCAGTTATTACCCTACATTGAAAGATTATATCCTTGAATATTCTATTTTTGCAAGTATGCATCTAGTAGCTGTTTGAACATCTGTATGGACTCTGATAAAACCACTTCTTCAGGCAGAGAATTCCACATCCTTATTGTTCTTACAGTAAAAAAAAAAACCTTTCCTTTGCCTTACATGAAATCTTCTTTCTTCCAGTATAAATGCATGACCTCGTGTCCTATGTAAAGTTCGGTTTGTGAATAGATTTCCACACAATGGTTTGTATTGACCCCGAATATATTTGTATAATGTTATCATATCCCCTCTCAGGCAACATTTTTCTAAGCTAAATAGGTTTAAATCTGCTAACCTTTCTTCATAGCTGATATGTTCCATTCCTTTTATTAATTTTGTAGCCCGCCTCTGCACTTTTTCTAGTGCCATAATATCCTTCTTTAGAACAGGTGCCCAAAATTGCACAGTATATTCAATATGTGGTCTTACCAGTGATTTATAAAGAGGCAAAATTATATTCTCATCCCGAGATGCCTTACTGACCTGAGCCACTGCTGATTGACATTGCACATTGTTGCATAGTTTGTTGTCTATAACAATTCCCAAGTCCTTTTCGTGTGTTGTTATCCCAAATTCACTTCCATTAAGGGTATACGTTGCTTGTGTATTCTTTACGCTGAAGTGCATGACTTTGCATTTTTCGACATTAAATTTCATCTGCCATTTGAGTGCCCAGTCCCGCAGTCTATCTAAATCCCTCTGCAGCAAAGCAATATCTTGCTCACATTGTATTATTTTACAGAGTTTTGTGTCATCTGCAAACACTGAAACATGACTTTCAATGCTTTTTTCAAGATCATTTATACACATGTTAAATAGAAGGGGTCCCAGAACATTCGAAACAAAAAAGAACAAAACACATGTATGTCTAATCCAGTTTTCTACTATAAAAACACTAAGGAATCCATTAGAAATATTAGCTAATATACTTTATGTGAATATAGTGCAAATTTTTGGGGGTCTTGGAATGTAACAGATATATCAATATATAAAGTATATAAGCTAAATAGCTAAATAGCTAAGCTAAATAGCAAAAAAAAAAATTCTATATTAACCCAGTGCATAAACGTTTTAACACCTTATTTAACAGAACCCTGACGGACACCACTTGCCACCTCCATCCAGCTTGAAAATTTACCATTAATAACAACTCTTTGTACTCTATTTTTAAGCCAATGTTCTACCCAAGAACAAGCATTTTGATCTAGACCAATTTCCTTGAGTTTGAACACTAATTTATTGTGTTGAACTGTCTCAAATGCATTGGCAAAATCCAAACAGAACACATCCACAGCAACATCCTGATCTATACTTCTACTTACTTCTTCGTAGAACGCAATCAAGTTAGTTTGACATGACCTGTGCTTCATAAAACCATGCTGATTTTTGCTGATAACCATGTTCTTCTTGAATATTATCCCTTAATAACCTTTCAAATATTTTCCCAGCCACAGAAGTTAAGCTCACAGGTCTATAATTTCCAGGCACGGATTTTGAACCCTTTTTGAATATAGGAACCACACCTGCCTTCCTCCAATCTTCCGGAACACTTCCTGAAAGAAAAGAATCTTGAAAGATTAAAAACAGAGGTTCACTTATTTCTACACTTAGTTCCTTAAGTACTCGTGGATGGATACCGTCAGGCCCAAGATCTTTGTTTATATTAACTTTCTTTAGTTGCTGCAGCACCTTGTCTTGAGTTAACCAATTACAATTATTCTGCAAGTTTTTAGTAGCAATCATTTGCACATCTAATGCCATGGGTTTTTCCTTAATATATACAAAGGAAAAGTAGTTATTTAAAATTCCTGCCTTTTAACTAACACCCCTATTTCAGTTTCTGGGGACCTACACTTTCATTTTTTGTTTTTTTAGGATTTATGTACTTAAAGAATGCTTTGGGGTTGGTTTTGCTCTCTTTGGCTATCATTTTTTCAATTTAAAGTTTAGCGAATATAATTGCCTTTTTGCACCCATTATTGGCATCCTTTTATAGGATGCATCTGATTTGTCCAATTTAAATGCTTTAAATGCTCTTTTCTTATTAAAGTGGCACTGTCATGCCAAACTTACCTTTCCTCAATCTCTTCCTCTTCTCCCCCTCTCTCAGGATCTGTTATTCTTTTCTTCCTGTCTTCTTTAGTTTTCTTTAAAATCATAAGACAAAGTAGGGACTCTTTGCCTTATGGAAGATTCCTCCACTTGACCAGCTCTGACCAGCGGAGGAGCAAAGTGTGCTTCATTTCCGCTGGTCAGAGCAATTTTCCCATGATTCTCACCTTTCCTCAGTGTTCCCGCGATGCTTCCTGTCACTTTACACGAAACTGCCGAATTGCGTTCTAACTGAATGAGAACAGTCTGTTCGTTTCTTTTAGAACACAATTCGGATCGCAATTTCATTCAAATGAATGAAACTCCGATCCTATTCGTGCTGTGGCTGCACCTTGCAGCCGCTTAGTAGATAGCTCCCTGATACCGTGGGAATTAGGGAGTTATCTACTAAAAGGCTGAAAGACCTAAATTGGTCTTTCAGCCAACTTTACTAATACCAAGTAAAAATTACTTAGTATCAGTAAATAATATGCCCCTACTCGCTATACTGCCATAATGAGAATGAGGGGGGGACCGACTGCCCCACCCCGGCCCCCATCCCTGGGCGGCGGGTGGGGGGAATAATGATAATGAGGGGGGCCCTACTGCCACCCCCCCGGGTGGCGGGTGGGGGCCCTAAGTCAATTCCCCCCCCACCAAGGTGACTAGGGGTCCCCAAGCCCCTAGTCACCCACCCCCACCCAAAAAAAAACTCCCTACCTACCCCCCTCACCCTAAAAAATAGTGAGGGGGGAATAAAATAACTAACCTGCAAAATAAAATTAAACTTACCATTTGACGTCTTCTTTTTTCTCAAATCTTCATTTTTCAGCCCCAAAAAAGGCCAAATAAAAAAACCATCATAACCGTCGAATTGAAAATAAAATAAAAATCCTGAGCGCAAAAAAAAAACCTGACGAAAAAGAAAAAACCATCCAACCCCTCGTTATCTTTATAGCCCCCACCCGCCGCCCCGCGTGGGGCCGGGGGGGAGCAGTAGGTCCCCCCCCTCATTCTCACTATGGCCCCCACCTGCCGCCCAAGGGTGGGGGCCAGGGAGGGGCAGTAGGACCCCCCCCTCATTCTCACTATGTCCCCCACCCGCCGCCCGGGGGGGCAGTAGGTCCTAATGGCTATCAGAGTTCATAAGAATGCACTAAATATAAAGTGCCAATGCTTAAATAGGTCCAAATGTCCTGGCAGATCTGATACGCGTTTCACCCTGTGTATGGGGCTTCCTCAGTCGGTGGTGATGTGTGTGGGCTCTTTAGCGTCTTTTTATGCCGCTCTTGCGGCTTACATCTCAGTTCCGGTATCAGAGTTTGGAACGCACGATGCATTCCACACGTCACTTGTGTGGTTTCCGGATCCTCATTTTGGCGCTTATATGTCGTCACTGGAAGTTCATTCGAAACAAAAAAGAACAAAACACATATAGTATGTCTAATCCAGTTTTCTACTATAAAAACACTAAGGAATCCATTAGAAATATTAGCTAATATACTTTATGTGAATATAGTGCAAATTTTTGGGGGTCTTGGAATGTAACAGATATATCAATATATAAAGTATATAAGCTAAATAGCAAAAAAAAAAATTCTATATTAACCCAGTGCATAAACGTTTTAACACCTTATTTAACTTATATATTAATATATAAAGTGAGGATATGTAGAATCTTTTGTATTAACCAAGTGCATGTTTTTCTCTGACCATATTTATGGTAAAATAAAGATATATAACATCTTCTGTATTAACCAGGTGCATATTTCTCTCTAACCATATTTATTGTGTGTAAAGGTCTGTACCAAAGTGCGATTTATTGTGCCTATAAAGTGCATCTAAAAAACAAAATCCTAATAAAAGTGACATAGCTCAAAATCTAAATTTAAACCATTTGGTATCAGTGTGTTGAATTTATTTTTCAAATTGAATTTTTATTAATTTTTCATTTTTAAAACTTGGGGTACAGAAAAAAAAAGAA